CTAAGATGCGCTGTTAATGCCACTTCAATTTTTCCTTATGCACTTTCTCATTTCAGACAAAATGTTTCTAAATCTAAGAACATCCTCTAAAAGATCTCTCTGGGCTCTGTACCCATCTGTCTCAAGTCTCTCACCAGTTTGGACTAAGTGCTTTTATCATTTTCCAGGGTTCTTTTCCAAATCTGAACCATCTTTCAAATTTTCAGTACCTTTAAATATACCTCTCCCCCCCCACACACCCAAAACAGGAAAGTTGTAGAGCAAAAAATATTTTGAAACTGACATGTTTAGAAGAAAAGCAAAAACAGGTCAATATGGATTTAATTTAAATTAGCTGTATGAAGCTTCAGGATTAATCATTAAGTCTTTATTTTGGAGGGCCTCAAAATATGAGCCTTGGAACATAAAAGGATAAATGTAATTTATCCGTTTGGATTGTTAATGAGGGGTTGGAAGTTTTCTAAACATAAAAGCCTGTAAAATTTTCTCCTCAGTTACAGTTGCTGATTATATATCAAGAGCAGAATCTCAGAGTAGACAAAGAAACCTCCCAAAGGAAACACTGGGTAAAAACAAGAAGGAAACGGTAAGAAATATATAAAAGTACAAACTAATACCTAGCTGGGGGGGGGGGGGGGGTTGGCTCAGTGGTTTAGAAGCTGTGCTTGTCAGCTGGGAAACAACAGTCTGAATTCGAGACAGGACACAGTGAGCTCGTAAATAAATAGCTATTCCGTGTTTTTGCCATACATTCTGCCCTGCAGTATGATGTCATGCTGGAAATATCTTTGGACAATGCTGGCTGACTGCCTTGGCTAACAGAGTTGGACTGGATAGGGAAACCTTTTATCTGTACATAATACCTATTTATGAATTTACTTCCAAGATTATGTAAATTACTACATCTATCTAAGTGCTGAAAAAGGTTTGCCAATTTGGAGGGCTCTATAAAATAGGAAAATTATGTTACACAAGTGTTGGCCAATTTGGACAACTTCTGTTAAGAATACCTTGCCATAATCACATTCTCCAGTTTTTTAAGAGTGGCAGCCTAAGGCAGGAATGCAGCTTATGTCTAGAAATAATTACCTACCTTGTTCATTTGATAGCGTTTTCAACTGGATTTTAAGAATAATTTAAATAAATAGGTTCTACAAATAACAGGGTATATCATCCACTATTACATGTAAAATGTCCATCTAATCACCTTTCTAAAATGAATACCTTCTGTGGATTTTCTTATGAAGTCAGAAATTGGGGTGGGGGGTGTATTAATTATGCTGTAATGATTCACAGTTCTCTTGTCACCGAGTCTTTTTTTTTTCTTCTTCTCTCTTTAAAAGGCGAAAGATGTGATAGAAGAGGTTGGCCTTTCTGAAAAAGCAGTAAATGGCCCGGCAGTGGTTTCTGGGACTGAATCTTCCAAGCAACAACATAGTCCTGAAGAAAAGCCTAGTACTATACAAGAAGACGAAAATAAACAGGAAGAAGCTGTGTTGAATGGTGTTTCATAAACAAGAGTTCCTAGTTTACAGTTCTTTTACATTACATTTTACAATAGTGCTTGTATAAGCTTGCCAAAGATAGAATATGGATTGCGAGTCTTGATATCGCACTTTCAGTTCCTCCATTTTGGAAAACAACAGGGAGGGATCCTGAAAAAAAATCCAATGTTGAACATACTTTGACACCTACTGTGTTATAAATATCATCAGATGTGCCTTGAGAATAGTATATGTAACATTTAAATAAAAACAAATTGCTGGCTATAGGAAACGTTATTTTGTTTTCAAAATATGACAGATGTGGGGGGAATCCCTAACATAACCTACTTTATGAAAGCATTAGCTGCTTTTATTACATTTTTAATAATATGCAACCACTTCTTCATCTGAGGGAAAACTAGAAAAAAATGCAGTCTAAAATATTTTGCACTGAATTGTAATTTCTCCATTAGTTTAGTCTGGAAACTGGTCTGTTTTAATACATGTTTTTTAAATGCTGTATGTAGTGGGGGAAAACTGCAGACCACTGGAATACATTTATTAAATTCTCAATCTGCAGGGATATTGGGTGACATTGGCAGTGACTGTTCTACATTGAGGCTTTGTTTGATTTATTTATTAAACTGTACAGTATTTAAAAATCAAACATAGCTTTAGTTTAAAACACTTAATTCTGAATTAGTCATGTCCATTAAGATAACCAGAACTACTGAAAAGATCAATTTCCAGAAAGTTTATTCTGTATAAACTACATATGTTAGTCCTTAGAGTATTTTTATTTTTGGTTGTTTGATGTGCAATATGTTTTTGTATGCTGGTAGAAAAATAAACCTTGATCTTCCATTGGTTGATCCTTAAGCATTTGCTAGTTATTAATTTGTTATACAATGGTTGGAAATAAGTTCTCATGGAGGCATTACCTTTGAATGAAAGAGTATGTTAATGTCATTTTCTGAAAGGTTTATACAGCTGGCAACATTGTTCCTCATTTAAGTTGCAGATCTAAATGTCTTTCCTTTTGCTCGTTATTGCATAGAAAACAGTAATAGGACAATTTAGGGAAAAATGGTAAAATTCAATTTGCAGTAGGATTGTCTCCCGGATTTAAATTTTTGATCCTAAAAATTCTGGCATTCTAATTAGATATCCCATAACATGTATGATTTTATCTCAAGAGCAAGTCTGACTTCATTGTTGATGTAGCACACAGATAGCATTGCTTTTGCAATTTTTTTCCCCATCCTTTTTCAAAGAGACATCATTAGAATCACAGAACCTCTTTTACCATGCTTTCTCCTATAGATTAAGAAGAGCATAGATAGCTTTATGATTCATACTTGTTGCTTAGCATTCCCTATAGCCGTAAACCATTGCCTTGCAGTCCCTGCCATATTCTTGTCCACGCCACTGTAGTTTCAAAAGCCTGCTCGCTGCCATCTGCCATAAAGACTACTACTAACTACTACTAATTCTTATCATTGTCTTTATTCCATTCATGTTTTTTTTTCCTTTGTAAGAATTGGTGTATCCTGCCCATGATCCTTTAATGCAGGGGTCTCCAACCTTAGCAACTTTAAGACTTGTTGACTTCAACTCCCGGAATTCCAGGAGTTGAAGTCCACAAGTCTTAAAATTGCTAAGATTGGAGACCCCTGCTCTAATGTAAAATCCAAAGTATTTAATGTTTTATACCATGCAGAAAACTGGTGATTATTTTGGAGAGTTCACTTATGCAAACAAATTTGTGAAGGGCTCCTATTTAAAATCACTATCATATCTCCTAGATTTCTTCAAGGATGCCAACTTCTTTCAACATTTCCTTCTAGAATTTAGGAATCTTGTCTTCTGTCTTATCATTTACCAGTAATTCTGTTTCAATCAGTTCTGGCCAACTTCCTTCTTAAACATGTCAATTAAAAATGGTCTCTAACTGTACCTTGACTGAAATACTATGCTTGCAACAGTGGATTTTTAAGATTCACAGGAACATTTTTTTTTAAAAAATTGATTATATTTCTAGAAGCACAATCTGCTAGTGATCCATTAAGATGCCTACTTTGAATTGCCACCTAACTAAATTTCTGCTATCTTAAAATTATGGAGGTTGTCTGCAAAAAAATCTTTATCAAGTTACGGCTCAGCTCCAAGTCTATTGAAAATATTTTTTCTTATACTCATGACTGCATAGCTTTAACATTAGCTATGTTTCTTTATCTTCATGCAGGTAATTTATGTGAGTTTGATACTTTTTCCCAACTCTTCCTCTAGGTTGACAGAGGACTTAACCAGCTGTTATGCTACCAAGGAATAAATAATACTGTTCGTATTTTACTATTGTACCAATAAGGATATGTGAGGCATTAATGGATTTGCGAAAAATAGTTGCTTTGATGGAGGTATCTGATTGCATTTTTATTGAATTGGACTACTTATCCTTTTATACTAAAGATGTGGTTAAATTTCTTCCACAACTGAAATGGATTATCTTCTATGGGGTAAAGGTGACCACTGACATATAGGAGGTCCAGATTCAGTACAGTTTAGTGCAGGGGTCCATAATACCAGGGCCATGGGCCACTACCAGGCTGCAGCTTGTTTGAAAACTGGACTGGGAGAAATGAGCAAGTGCATGCGTGAAGTTCCACTTGTGCAAGGGGCAGGCAAGCTCCATTCATGTGGAGCTTGCCTGCTACTCATTTGTGCACAGATGCAAATGTGTGCCACTTCCATGAGTGCAAGTGCAGGCTGCTTGTGCGAATGAAGCTTTGTGTGCAAGCACCCTCCACTTGTGCAAAGCTCCATTTGTGTGAGTAGAGTGCATGCACATGCACTGCTCATACAAATGGAGGTGTGTGCGCCTGCCACTCACCCTCTCATGCCGCCAAGCTGGAAATGTTGGGGACCACTGGTTTAGTCTCTTATCCCTTGATCTTATGTGCAATACTCTTTCATTCTCCTAATGGGTGCCATGTCTCCCTGTTTTCATATGTTCTTTCACAGAACTATTCTGTCTTCTTTCACCCTTCCTAAATACTGGAGATAGTTTGTTCACATTTTCTGCAGTTGTATTTCTTCCTATACTTCCAACAGGTAGGCAAATACTATATCCATACTACAAGTGACAGGAACATGGAACCAGGAAGAAGAAAAAATTGCTCCGGATGGCCTGTTTTCCATTGCTTTCTAAATTTCTCCAGATACCTTTGGAAAGAAATCTATAATTTCCTGTATTTATATTTATGACTATTGATGCTGTGTCTTGAATTCTGACTAATAAGTAGAATATAATAATATAATCATCACTAGATGAATCTGCCATCTCCCAAGTACTTCATACCCTTCCCTACTAGAGTCCCACATAAAAATTCCCCAAACTACTCACTCAAACGTAGAATTCGAAGAGCTGTCCTATAGAGCTTCTTGCTCTAATTAGATTCAATTATGGACCTCGCAGTTGATCTGGGTAACAAATTAGGCAACCTCCAAGATAAAAAAAAAGTGAAAAAAAGCATACAGCTTCCAGATATGTTGAGCAACATGCTTTGTAAGCCACAGAAGGCTTAAAACATTAATCAAAGAACAGCGTTTTAGAAGCCACAAAATCAATTAAAACGTCACAGTAGAACTGTTTTGCCTCCCTACATTTAAAGGAAAAAATTCTAGCTTACATCTTAAAACAGAACATTATTCACCAACGCTTAATACTTGGATTTTTAAAATCCATGACAGCTTCAAGCCTAGTTATTTCCCATTTTAATCATCTTCAAAAATAAACAAAGGCAGGAGCCAGTATTCAGAAATAAATCTAAGCTTTTCTTGGTATGAAGAATTGAAAACTCTTGTTTTAAAAGTTCTATTAGAAAGTTGGAGACTACAAATTTGGTTCTGGGACATGAATTGCTGTTTGACCAGCTGAAAGATACAGACCAGCTTACAAGAGCAAATGTTCTCCAACAACACTTTCTTATGCAGTCATGTAAAGAAATACTTTAAGAATTTTATTGCTCAGCAATCATGGTAATAAAAATATTTTTTGAAGAATACTGCACCATAATTCCATGATAAAATAATACAGCTGTTCTCAGCTGAGAAATAAATTACTTCAAAATATTAAGCCTCACAGGTGTTTTCAGCAGAATCTTGGATGTTGGCATTTATCCTAATTTTTTTAATCTAAAACGATAATTCTGAATTTCAGATATTACTACCTGGTTAACTGGTTCCGTACAAAGCTTGCACTTTATTAGAAGTGCATCACAAATTGTGGTTGACATTAATTTCTGAAAATAACCACAGAGAAGGATGCGTCCTACATCAAAACGATTTCCTTTTGGCATGTATGACAGCTTCATTTGTCAATTTTCTTTGGGCTATTTTGAAAATATATTCTAATTGTTAAGTCAATGATGAGTTTTCATTTCTTAGCTTGACTTTCCAGTAAATCCTTAGCTTCGTTAATTTTGGCTGCAACATAAGGAGACCCACCTGGTAAAGAGGAAAATATGGTTGTCATGTTCATAAGACACACATTATTTTGGTAGATGAAATATATGTGATCAGTGAAGTGAATATTCAAAATAAAACATTTTAGATATTTCAGTAATAAAATGGTCCACATACAAAAACATTTAACTACATTAGCAGCGGTAATGAATAGCTTGCCAGACTTATCATAAAATTCTAGTTTTTCGCTCACGTGCATGAACAACTTTCAAATAGAAAAATTAGGAAAACAGAACTTAAAATGTCTAAATTCAATTCTTAAAATGTTCCCATGCAGTCCTATATAGGCCAGTCATTTTACATGAGCCAGGTGGAGACCGCCATATTAACATCTTCTGATTTACCTTTATCAGGATGATTCAAAAGCATGATTCTTCTGTGAGCTTCTCTGATTTTTGCTTTGTTAGCTGTAGGACTAACAGTTTATTTTTAATTAGATAGTTTATAACTAGGAAAAATATAAAACATCATCAGATTATTATTAAAAACACCTGATTATTGCACCTACATCAGTTCACTACGTTTCACAGAATGATTCTCAGGAGGAAGAATGATCTACTGTGTTGAATTTTACAGTTTGCAAGCTACCTGTTGTTTTTTTGTGATAATTTAACAAACAGAAATAGCTTATTCTGATTGTTCTACAATTATGCATACAAATAAACTTATTCCCGCCCCTCCCCCATTGTCTTGTTAGGATAGTAAAACAATCAAATCCCTCATTACACTACCCAGTTATTGAACTTCTTTGCCTAATTGAGTTACAATTTGAGTTACAAATTTGACAATTTACAAAAAACACAAGTTACAAAAAACACATTTGAGTTACAAATGTGACAAATCTGTTTGCCTGAGAAAATAGCATTCAAACTTTTATGGAGCTATGGTGACATAGAGGTTAGAATGCAGCATTGCGGGCTAACTCTGCCAACTGCCAGCAGTTTGATCCTGACCAGCTCATGGTTGACTCAGCCTTCATTCTTCTGAGGTGAATAAAATGAGGGCCCATATTGTTGGGGGAATTGTACTGACTGTAAAACCGCTTAGAGATGGCTGGAAAGCACTGTGAAGCAGTCTATAAGACTAAGTGCTATTGCTACATACAGCTTCATAGTGCTTTATAGCCACCTCTAAGCAGTTTACAGTATCAGCATATTGCCCCCAATCTGGGTCCTCATTTTATCAACCTTGGAAGAATGGAAGGCTGAGTCAACTTTGATCCAGTCAGTATCAAACTAGTGACAGTCGGCAGAGTTAGCCTGCATTACTGCATTCTAACCACTCCACCACCATGGCTCTAAATGCTATTGCTATTTTAGAGTGATCTGAAAACTTCGCATCTACCCTATGTCCAATCACTATCTTGGAGACCCTGTCATTAACAATATTGAACGTAAATTGGCTGTTACATCATACAGTTACAGCCTGTATGATGCAAAAAGATTACCGTAAGCTTTTTTATTATTCAAATCATAGCTACAAAAATTACACCAACTAACATATTTCTTCTCTTATGCAGTTTTCCCTGGAAAATATTCCTGTGATTTTTAATTTTAATTTTACCTCACTCCTAATATTAAGGCAGCTTCCCGCTTATTCATTTTGCTTTCGAATCCACCTCTGTAATAGCCACTGAAGGCCTGAAAATAAAATACACCGTTATTACAAAAGCATTATGCAATGCTACCAATAAGAAATTAAAGATGCACATCACTCAATTGTGGCAAATAGAACAAAATGCACCATCCAATTACATACAGCACTGCCAAGAAGTAGAAGAGGTGACCCAATTTCTTATTTTTAATGTCCTCCCACATGGCTTAGTTCATCGTTACCAACTAATCATTTTTTCCTAGCATGAGACAAAAATATTTCTATAAAGCAAATATTTTTAATTAATTTGCATACCTTAATAAGCATAAGGCTTAAAACTTGCAAATTTGGAGTCTCATAATCCTATGCATTGAACTGTTTCTGTCTCCTGTCCCATGGTAAGCAGAGAAGAAAATGATATTGCTGCAAAAGAATACTGAGTAAAAACAAACTCACCGTTTTTGGCAGAGATTGCAGAGTTTGCTTCACTTGTGGTTCCATTTGCTTCATTGCTTGCAGTGCATAACGACCTTGAAGAAAAGAAAAAATTCAATTTCAGCTAATAGAGTGAGATCTGCAAAACCTGTAGACGCAACTAGACAGGCCAAAATGTAATACTTCCACAGAAGCTTCCTACTATTGCAATAGGCTGAAGAGAGTGTAAACAGAAGTCCAGTACTTCCTATCCCACTGAAAGGATTTCATTTATTTTTTTCCCCGCATAGCACTCGGGCTACTAAATCCCAGGAAGGGGCATACACCACTCTCAAAATTATTATTCTCTCTGCCTTGCACAATTCAAATTCTATTTTAAAGGACCCAGTACCATTTACTGACACAATTTTTTAAAAGGCAATCTTTTTTAAGAATTTCACGAAGTCAACAATAAGTAATCTAAATTAAGAATTACATCCCCTAAAGTACCATTTATGTTACATTTGAGGAGGAGAAATAAAAGCGCAAGGCAGATGCTCTTTAACTATGGTGTTCCTTTCTTTCAGAAAATCAAGTTTCAAGTAATTTATACATACAAAGACAACTGTGGCATTGTAACAATACATGTGTGATAGACTTAAACACCTAATCCAAGGAAGTGTGCAGGGTGAGAGAATATCAGTTTAAAAAGTTGTCTTGAAAGAGACAAAAGTCAGCGGGAAGAGTGAAATTTCGCTAGTGTTACTAATGCTTTTAGTATTATCAATTTTTGTGATTATCCATAGCTTTCATGGTAGACATATATGGACTGTTCCCTTCATAATGATCATTTTGCAATAACCTTGTGGTACTTTGTCAGCATTCCAACTATGACTCTACCCCACAAGACTGGAAAACCCCATAACCTGGGGATCAACTTCCTCTGATGTGATAACAAATTCTGAGTGTGTATATCTCTTTTCATGTAGGATACAAGCACAGGTAGGGTCCAACCTGAGGACCCATCCTCTCTTTTGAAGCTCAACAAGTTATTGTGGATTACTTAGATGACAGGAATTTATCAACATGCCCACAATAAATTGAGGGCCATGTTGGTAAATCCCTGTCATTTAAGAAATTCCCCAGACTAGAGCACTTAGTTGGTATCTCTCATCCTGGTGAAGATATTAACCATATTTTAAATCAATGCAGAATTATGTCCAATAATACAAATGTAATTCAAACAGATTAAGTCATACAGAGCCAATTTACAAATTAACATTAAGCCATAATGTAGTATGGCTATGTGAACCATACTTAACAAATGTTGAGTCAGTCAATAAACTACAGTTAGCAAGTCAAAGTTTTCTGTGATATGTGAGACTACATTTATGATAGCTACTTTAAACTTAAAGGCATCAAATCCACCAATAACAAATGTGATATGAAATTAAAAGTATCAAATATTTAGCAATATTTGGCAAAAAAAAAGTGCCACTGGAGCCATCTGCATGAACCACTGTCTTTCTGTTTATTAAACCATCCAAACTAACCTTGTAGTAAACGCTTATGCTTCCCAACACTAGATTGTAATACTACTATCCATTATTTATTTTATTATATTTTATTTGGTTTGTCAATTGCTTACAAGATAACAGGTATAAGTAAAAACATAGTTATGAATGCATGGATACATATAAGAAAAATAAAAGAAACAGGGAAGGTAGGCATGTTGGTGCGCTTATGCACGCCGCCTGTTATATTATTATATAATTATTATTATTTTATATATATATATATATATGTATGTATATGTATATATATATGTATGTGTGTGTGTGTGTGTGTATATTATATTATTATTATTATATTATTACATTATAGGGCACATATTTAACACAAGCAGAAATAAAGCAAGCTTTCCAAGAACAAACCTGCATAACCAGCAGCAGCTATTGTCAGGCCAACTACTATCATAGTACCAGCCTAAAAGAAAGGAAAAAGGGAATAAATAAAATGAAGAAATATTAACTTCAGAACATTTTGCTTAAACACTAACAATGAAAAAGGTTTTTTGAATATATAAAAGCGTAAGCAAATATCTGAGTCAAAGATTACTTAAAGATTATTCAGGTCTTCATTTGGCAATTTTCAATTCCATGCCTTTGAAAACATACTGAACTTACTCTGTGTGTGAGTGTTTGAGAGGGGGGAAGGGAGGGGGGGTGATTAGGGAAGTCATCTTGAAACCTAGATTTATATGGTTAGTGAAACAGGATACTGTACTTCTCTTTTAAAACTAGGACACAAAACATTTTTGCATTTGTTCATTCCTTTTTGATTAACAAAGATATTCTATAATTCAGAAGCTTGTATTATGCCAATTTCCAATCTTATATAGGTACTATAATGAATAACTTCACCAATTGGGTTTTACTTTACCTCTTCTACCAATCCTTTGGAGCAAATCTTGGGTACATGTAGGTATTGCAAACATAACTGAGAACCAGGCAATTAATTTAATTGTTCTGTATTGAAATAATTGCATATGTATAAGAAAGTTGGTTCTTAAAAGTTCTCAGAAATCCTAAGAATTAAGATTATTCCAGCTGGATACAATAGCATTTTAAAAAATAAACAAAATATTGTCCCTAGGAAGATTTTTGTTTTTTTCTCATCACAACATACTTCTTAAATTTCAAATATCTATCAATAATTCATGAATTAAGATACTCATGAATTAAGAATACACTTTCCAGGGTTTTTTCACTGATATATAAAAATGATTTTATGTTGTCTTTTCCAAAATAATTATACCAGCGAGCAATCAAGGTTATTAATTTTAAGCCATAAATGTTCCACAGGTAATTTTCGTTTATATGTTTAGGCAGCCTCATGGGAAATACTTATTTCTCATGCAAGTTAATAACCTATATTTGAAGTTATATCAGAAATGAGATAATCAATGTTCCTAAAATTACACCATTGTCTTTTTTAATCAAGTAGAAAACTTTTATCACAGCAGAAAACAGCTTTCCTGCAGCTTCTCAAAAGTCCTAAATAGGAAATAATGTATATCTAAATTTTAGTAGGATGAAGTTCCAATATATTATTTCAATATATTTTGTTTATATAGTGTCTAGTTCTTTTCAGTGAGAGTAAAATAAAATAACTCTGTGCAAATGCAATCAGTTTGGGGCTTTTTAATTTTGCTCTTAAAATGTATCTGGAGAATATTGCAGCTCTATCGTATCTAGCAGATAGTACACTTGAATTTTATTTAATATATTTTAGCCACTTTTTCAAAATCATAGTTTCTCCAAAATATTTTAAAAATATAAAATAGTAAAAATCTATATCTAATTGTAAACAACTCTGGCATTTAAATAATTTTAAAACAATCACTTTAAATAAAATGAAAGTTCAAATATTTATCAGCAACAAATATAGCAATTTAAAAATGAAAGGCAAAGAGAAAAAACTGCATTTTAATGCCCTTTTAAAAAGCTGCTAGATATGGTGCTATTCATCTTCTCTTGAATGGAGTATGTGCCCTTAGTATTATCGTTACATATTTATATAGTGGATTGGTGAGTATCACTTCCAAAGATGAATAAAGCACAAATCTGTGGGCAGTTCTTGAAATATCATGGATCTAAGTGAATTACACTTTCATTATTATAAAATCATACACCAATGCTAGCACTTTTAATTCTGCCTTGCCATCATAGTACTCAGATGAACGGGATATGCTACAACATAGCTCCTCTGAGCTACAACAAGAGGAAAATTGGATACATTATGTATCAGAAGGGTCTAAATAGTTTTCAAAACAATCAAATACATGAGCAGCACATTACAGCTTATGCCAGCTTTGCCTAGACATGAATTGGTAACAAACTCTCTAAGAACTCTATCATATCCAGGTATGACAAACAAGACATAAGGACTAAACTAGGGTTTGGAAAACCAACACATCATGTACTATATTTTCAACATACATTTTTAATATAAACTGGTTGAAGGTGTTCTCATGCTACCAATCTCCCAAATCTTGCATGCACACACAGCAATCATAACCTGGAAATTGAGTCATGGCAACTGAACTTCTTGTTGGTTTGAAACATTTCACTGCTTATTGAAGTAGCTTTTTCAGTCTGAGCAAGTTGGTTAGGAGGAATCTCATATATGTCCTCCACGGAGGCTTCATTTCTTACCTAATCAGGATAGGCTCATTAGGTGAGTCGGCAGAGAGGAGTTGAATAGTTTCAACTCTTAAATCTTTTACCCTACGTACTCTCTGCCGACTCACCTAATGAGCCTATCCAGGTTAGGCGATAAATGAAATATCCTTGAAGGACATATACTGGGTCCCCCTAACCAACATGCCCAGACTAAAGAAGCTACTTGGATAAGCAGTGAAACATTGTGAACCAACAAGCAGTCCAGTTGCCATGACTAAACTCCGATAACTCTATCTGGATGACTGAGAACCTTTGACACAGTAACTGTGAATTAACTAAGTTTTATTTAATAGCCCAGCAGATGGCAGCACCTAGCTGACCTTGACCAGGTGCTGAAAAATAAGTTAAGGTTTAACCTAGTTAGTGCTTCAGTCATGGCTACAAAATTCAGACAGTCATCAGATTAAAAGGCAGCAAAGAGATATAGAAAACTCTCTTTACCCTCTGAAGCAACCAGATTTTGCAGCCCAGATTTGGTATTATTATTTTGGAGTCCACCCCAAGGAAAAGCAAGACTATGAAGTAGACTGGTAAGTTGGAAAAAAAACATTCCTATAAGGTTATGAAGAAATCCCAGGGAAAAAATCTTCTAAGATAGTGAACCTATGAAGCTAACAGAAAACCATGTACAGCCAACCACACATCTGAAGGTGAGATAGTGAGTTTACTGATTTAACCTTAATAACTGCAGTGCTGTGGAAACGTTAACAGAGATTGAGGGAGAAGTAGTGGATGGATATTGAATTTTTCTTTAACTTTTGATGGACAGTAAAAACTTTAAAATAAATAAATGCAATGACAAGCCATTCTTATACTATGGCCAAGAAAACTACAGAGGTGACTACAGCCATGTTTAAATTTATAAAGCTGTTGGAGATGGCCTAATTTCAGCAATGAATAAATCCCTCACTTCAGGTTCTTCCAATGATTGCTCCAGCCACAGTTTTATTTAGTAATGATATTGGCTGAGCTATACTAATCTATTCTGTTAACATTGGAATAGACAGAACAAATCTTACTTGTAAGGGAAGCCGATCCAACAAAGCTGAGTTCTATATACCTTACTTCATGGAAAAGGAGTGCATCCAAATGTTTCTTCCCGGCAGCCTGAATGGGTGATTTAGTAGAAGAAAATGGTGCTGCAGGTACCTATGAATTTTAGATCTCCCTTAGGCATGAAAGCCAGCTGGGTGACTTGGGGCCAGTCACCATGAGATCATGAGTTCTAGTCTCACCTTAGCTAAGAAAGCCAGCTATGTGACTCTGGGCCAATCAACAGGAGACTGGGAGTTCTAGTCTCACCTTAGCTAAGAAAGCCAGCTAGGTGACTATGGGCCAATCATTAGGAGACTGGGAGTTCTAGTCCCACCCTAGCTAAGAAAGCCAGCTAGGTGACTCTGGGCCAATCACCAGGAGACTGGGAGTTCTAGTCCCACCCTAGCTAAGAAAGCCAGCTAGGTGATTCTGGGCCAATCACCAGGAGACTGGGAGTTCTAGTCTCACCTTAGCCAATGAAAGCCAGCTGGGTGTGAGCCAGTTGCTCTCTCTCAGCCAAACCCAATCCAACCCCACTGTCACAGGTGGTGGTTGTGGGGAAAATAGAACCAGGAAGGAGGTGTTCCCTATAGTCCCTATGCTGTGAGCTGATCGAAAACACCCGAAAAGGCAGAGTAACAGTTTAACCCATCATCATTGGAATCAGCCAGGGATAACAAAACAGGCCAGGATATTCATCCCTATTCAAAATCACGGGCAAGAGTGGTTAAACAGCGCTGCACATCCTCAGGGAGAGGGCAGCTTCCCCCCACCCACCCCCAGAGGAATCCCACCAATTATTCCTCATTTTTAGCTCCATTTTAAGTTCTGCCCTGAGGAAAACACAGCGATGGGCT